GTTATTTTCTTTTGCATTAACCTTGTATTTTAAATGCGACTTCTTAACTGAGATTCCAAGGCTAAGAGACTGAGAAAATTTATTCATCTGTTCATTTTAGACGCTTTAAGACTGATTTTAGTATTACTGGTCGCCTTTCGTATGTAGACTTATGAAGAGGCAAGTAATTACATTTTTAATTAATTTAGAATAACTTGAAATAATGACAGCTGTCAGCTGCTAATTATGTTCGGCACCTTTAGGCGATTGAATTCTCGTAACAAATTGAATGAATTAATAGTATTAACTCAGCCTAAAATTATAAAGAATATTAATTGATTTTCTGTATATTTGTTTGAGATTTTCTAACTCCATACTAAAAAAAAATTATTTTTTTATCGTTTTATAATCAAGTATTTCTTTAAATAAATAAATTTAAAAAGTTAGGTCCCTGTGTCAAAGTACCTTTAAAGCAGCATTTCCTCGCTGTATTGCGATAATTATTTGTTGAGCCAGGAAATCACTAGCTATGGGGTCACCACGGGGGTGTACTTTTAGCTTTTTAGCGTATTTTGGTTAAGCCAATTAGTACAAACATCTACTTTCGCAAAACACGTAGTAGACTACTAATAAGTAGTTTTTGAGTAAGAATCGTTAAAAACATACAAATCTATCCTATTGGGACTTCCATGATTTTGCAGTGTCTCGGGCATAATTGTGCGTACGCTTGACGACTGGAGTGGCGCGCGGTCGTCAGCAACCGCTTGTAGCAGTCCGTGTATGGTGGGTCCGGCACCTCTAAGCAGACGAACGCATGGCGAAACTCGACCGCAAAGCGACTGCTCTGACCGCTCAGGAACTGCTCGAGCGGTCCGTGTATTGCGGATATGAATTTAGTATGGAAACTGCAGATCGCCGTGCGGCGACCGCTCTAGAGCAGTCGGACTCGGCTGCAACATGCGGTCCTTCTATGACCAGCGTAAGGGAGACAAGTGTACGCGTAGGCTGTTTATTTATTTCATTTTAAATTTATTTTTATTGGCTTTTGTTGTTGGTACTAAAACTAGTCTTTTAGTTGTACTTTCTAACTAAAATGGATCTGTGTTATGTATGAATACATTATTATCAATGTTTGTAATATTACTATGGACTAGCATTTAGGAAGGAGATTAGGCTAATTTACTAAAATGGCTACAGATGCTAACTCTTTATTCTCTGCTAATAAGGATATATTTTTTTTATTCTTCTAATAAAATGTGAGTTCAATTAAATGCATACTGTAATATTTTTATTAGTCAGCCCAATTATATGTAGCCCTCTCACATGTAGGTCAACTAAGACTTTTGTGTTTTTAAAACTGAGAGTGGGGTCAAGAGATTCATGAATATTTTCTTTTCCATTAATTTTATATGGTATAATAATTTTGTTATCTTCACAAATTATTCAAGATTTTGTATGTTTGTACTTTTCATGTTTTAATAGAACTGGGTGATTTCAAAAACCGACCGAGATCTATTGTGATTTATATACGACATTCGAAATCTCTAAAAATATCTCTTATATAGTTCGATAAATTTCTTTAAAATCTCCTTTTAATATTTGTGCAAATTTTTTAAAACAGAAAACACTTTTGAATTTTTTATTTGTATAAACAGGTCTAAGGCATGCCAATTTCCTCACGATGTTTTGCGATGTTCTGCGCTCATAGAATAATCCATTGATGAATCGTACGAACACAATATGGTTAAAAGTAGCACGCTTAATAACTTGCAAAAGTCGCTACTGTCTTGGGCCAACACTGATATAAATGAAAAATAACGAATAAAATGCATGTAATATGCACACACACCATTATTATTAACGTATGTATTAATTCAAAAATATATTTTTAAAGTAATTACTATTATACGATAACCCTTACATGCAATAAGTGCTAAAGTCACACATACAGAACTTCATACACCTATTATCTCCTAGTACTCACCCCTCTTGTCGCTTCACTGCGTCAGTATTTCTTCTTTTGTTTCCTAATGTAGGCATTGTTTAGTTCCGCCTTTATAATTTATTAGTTCTTGTGCTATTTGAAAATAAGAAGGAACATATAAAATCATCATAGAAGTATTGGCCTAGTGGCTTGGTGCGACTCTCATCCCTGATGTCGTAGGTTCGATCCCTGGCTGGACTCTCTTTTTATGTGCGAATTTAACCTTCGCTCGAACCTCGAACTCGATTGAAAACGTCGACTGTGTGTCAGGCTCAATGATCACCTACTTGCCTATTAGATTGACAAATGATCATGATACAGATACAGGAATCTGAGGCCCAGACCTAAAAACGTTGAAGCGCTTTTGGTATAAAATCCAAATTAAAAAGAAGTCTTTAATTCTAATCAGTACTTCCTGAGACAAATCCTTCTGATTTAATATAAATATAGTGTCTAAACATAGTATTTTTAAAATATCTACGTATTCAGACGGCAAAAAGCGACTTCTTTATAACTATGATTATACTTCATTTATTTCATATATTTTATATTATAGATTATGCTATGACCATGATCTCATTAAAAATTACCAGGCTAATTGATTAATGAATCCAATAATATAAAAAGATATAATATTATTTTGATTATTTATAATACTTATTTCGCGTTATCTTCAAAAATGCATGCTTCCTGTCTGAGATAAATTACATTTGTATTTTAGTATTTAAATGATAAGTAAATTTTTGTGGTCACACATATTTAACGCGCCACGCGGCTACAACTCTATCATAATCTGTGCATAACCATAAAACAAAAAACGTTACCATGGCAACCCATTAGGTCGATTGAACAATAGAATAAACTAGAATAAAATGCACGCTTAAGCAACTAATTAAGCGCATTGTTTAAGTACACAGTAAGTGGTGGCAGTGAAAGTAATTCAATATTACATTGCAGGAAATCAATTGTCTGCACACTTATAAGCTTCATTTGTTGAACTAACGTCAATTATAACGGGTCTATATTGTACACATAACACACCTGAAAATAGTTTAATATGTAAAAATAAACATGTTTTTGTTTCGCGAGTAGTAGATTTATATATTGCTTTGACGGTCATGGTAACCAAGCGTGTAAAGTAATTCCGACCTAAGGCCATTAAATAATAGACTTTGGGACCTGAAAGTAGAAACTGTACGTTGGATTGTGATTGGATCAGTATATAAAACACTCACAGAATAAACAATCATTTACATGACAATTCTATCGGCCGACAACGCACTGTTGGCAAACGGACAGGAGGCTCATCTGATGCTAAGTGATAACCGCCGCCCATGCCCACACACACTCGCAAGTGCATTACCGGCCTTTTAGGAATTGGTATCTTGAAGGACTCTAAGTAGAATTGATTCGAAAATTCTTCAGTGGGCAACTGGTTACACATAGTGGTGGTGCGCGGCAAAAAGTGCCTTACAAAGTGCTCAGTTCTTGAACAACGGACGTAGAGGTGATAGCTGGAGTTTCGTATTCTGCCTCGACGACCGATGATGAAACTCAGCTGCAGGCATTAATCCAAACAAATCCTCCTTACACTCTCCATGGTAAATTCGGTAGAAGATGCACTGGTCGCTTAAATTGACCTTGAATTACATCATGCGTTTAGAACAAAAACTATTCGATAAAAAATCCTGCACATATATGAATCATAATGTATCGTTTCGCAAACTGTTTCAGCGCACAGTTGCCGTCAGAAATCACTTTACACCTTTACCTATTGATTTTCAAACGTTCAATCACACTACGCTATTAAAATACAATTTCGTTATTGAAACAAGGTTTCGATTGTTAGCGTGGTGTAATATTTGTTGAATTTATTTAATGAATACTTCGTTGCAGTAATACAGAAATACAGTAGAATTAAAATAATTAAATTAAAAGGAGGGCAACTGGCAACTGGTCTCTTAGAGGCAACTATTATTTTTTAATACTTTGTTGTATTACGAAGGGTACATATACCTTCAGATAACATAAATTTCGTAGGCATCGGGCGGCAATATATGTGTTTTGTAAGAAAACTTTATCTTTAATTTTATTTTGTATCATACTAGCGCCCTGTCCCGGCTGACACATATTTTATGTATATATGTATGTATTGTAATGGTTGAATGTTTTTAAATCGGTGCAGTAGTTTTAGAGTTTTATATATAATATTAAACTAGACAAAATTGCTTTAAAACTAAGGTTTTCACTAATAACAAGTTAAATCATTAAACACTACTAACGTGTGTTGAATCCTCAATTTACAAACCATTAGAACATCTACAGTACACAAGTAATAGATATAATTAGATAAAAGGAATTTGATATTCTGTACCTCTTAGAGGATAATAAACTAAATCTTACCCTGAAGGTAGGTTACCCTTGTCCCTGTTAAGTCGTTTTTCTAAATATTTCTATAAATGTCTCAACATTATCGCTACCAAAGGAAACATTCTAATTACAAGCGATCAGTTAATACATTACTTATAGTTTAATTGCATAACCGTAAATTTGCTAATAGCTTAAGTCGCCAACCCTATATGAAAATCATAATGGGTTCTCAATGTTGAAATAGTAATAATTATATTGATTTCTAAATAGATAGAATATATATTCTGTTTTTAAATTTGAAATAGATCAATCGTTTAGTATTGCTTGCATTTTGTTATGAATCCTACTCGTGAAGAGATAAGTAAAAAACTTTAAAGCATCTGTAAAAATAAAATAATAAAAAGTTCTCTCCGGCGGGGAATCGAACCCCGGTCTCCCGCGTGACAGGCGGGGATACTGACCACTATACTACCGAAGACTTCTTATCCTATGCAAAATATAGGTTCAGGATTTAGTTAGATTGTGGCGAATACCCAGACTATATTCAATTTTTTTTTATATGAAGTATACTAAGGACAACTCTAAAGTAACAATCGCCTAGATTTTTTTTACTGGGGGCAATCATGCACCCTGCACCCTGCACTTAGAATAAAGCTAGCCACCGCCCATGGAAGCCTGCAGCACCGGGAAGCTTACTGGTATTCCTTACGTTACTAAAGAGGTCCGTAACTCTATGGAATATATATATAAAACCTTTAGTTTTCTAAATTAAGTTTAATTAGTTAAATTTTAAATGCCGGCAACGCACCCACTAAAAATGGGTGTCTATGGGCTGTGCTGACTGCCCTTTTTGAGCGTCCCGCAGGCTCGTTTGCCCTATTATAGAAAAAAAAATGTATAATTATAAAAAATCACCATAAGTTTCTATATACAGGACTGCTGGCTGGCACTCTAAAGACGATACAGCGGGCAGCATGTTACGACGAAGATGTGTCATTGTCTTGTGCTAAAGGGACCTATATTAGTATACAAGTCGCTCAATATGGGAAGGCATCGCCGGGAGGTTATAATTGCAAGACTGAACCACAAAATGTTTCTGATGTTGAGAAGTGTCTGCGGCCCACTGCTATGCAGGTTGTATATCATTTTATTTGTTTAGAAAATAGGATAGTATAAAAGAATTGTTCTTATTAGTCGTTGATATTGTTTTGATTATTATTTAGGGCTAACAGTGAGCCCTTTTATATAAATTGCCCAATATACCCGACTCTTGTGGTGCGGGACCTTATTTTATACACATATTTTGTACAAATATATATATATACTTACATTAAGAAATTTCCCAATATTTTTATCCATACAAGCTGATCCGGCAAACGTCGTTTTGCCATGTATATAATTTATAATAAAAAATAGGGGTTTATCGTAGTGAGTTGAAAATTAGGGGTTGTATGTATTTTTTAATGCTGTATCATAAAAAATAATTTTTTTTATCTACAAATTAAATAATAATAATTTAGGGGTGGACTACCCTTAACATTTAGGGGGATGAAATATAGATGTTGTCCGATTCTCAGACATACCCAATATGCACACAAAATTTCATGAGAATCGGTCAAGCCGTTTCGGAGGAGTTTAACTACAAACACCGCGACACGAGAATTTTATATATTAGATATACAAATATATTATATATTACTACATATTAGATAGATATTATTACATATTCTATTTAATTCATGGGCTCGTTCCCGTCGTCTTGCCTCTGCTACGCTCTTGTTGCAGTGAATGACACGTCTCACTATCCTACTTCAGAAATCTTCCAGTTGTACGGACGCCAGTTGCATTAATGTTTTAATCTTGTAAATTATTATTATGAGCAGTGTTGGCCAGTGGCTTCAGGGTGCGACTCTTATCTTTGAGGTCATTAGTTAGATCTTCGGCTGTGCACTAATGAACTTTTGTCTATGTGCGCATTTAACATTCACTCGAACGATGCAGAATAACATCGTGAGGAAACCGCCTTGCCTCAGACCCAAAAAGTCGCCGGCATGTGTGCATTGGGGGCTGATCACCTACTTGCCTATTACAAATCATCATGACGCAGAGCATACAGAATTCCTAGGCCTAAAAAGTTTTTTTTTAAATTCTTATTATGTATGTAACACAATCTTTCTTCTAGGTAACCATATATTTAAAAAATAGGCTAGGTTAAATAGTGAAGGGCAAAACTATATTTACAAAAAAATGCTTCCAGATGACATCTATTACCAAATGATGAGTCCGTCGAGTAGTTCGTGTGTCTTACTTGTAATAAAAGAAGCGAATAATGTATAATATTATATAATATACCATAATACCGTATGGATAAATATGTATAAAAAGTAAATATATAATTGTTTAATGTATGTGCTGTTATAAATTTCTTTAGAAGAGATAAAGTAGTAAATTTCAATAATTTAAAATGTGTGTAATTAATCTATAGATAGAGCAGTGTTGGTCTAGTGGCTTCAGCGTGCGACTCTCATACCTGAGGTCGTAGGTTCGATCCCCGGCTGTGCACCAATGGTCTTTCTTTCTATGTGCGCATTTAACATTTGCTCGAACGGTGAAGGAAAACATCTTGAGGAAACCGATATGTCTTAGATCCAAAAAGTCGACGGCGTGTGTCAGGCACTGGAGGCTGATCACTTACTTGCCTATTAGATTTAAAAATGATCATGAAGCGGATCGAAAAATCTGAGGCCAAATCCTAAAGAGGTTGTAGCGCCGCTGATTTATTTATTTTTTAATTAATCTATAAAAATTACATGTACATTAAACTTGAATCTCCTTAACAGTACTCAATCCTTCAAACGGTGGTGGTAGCTTGCCAGAAGAAACCAAGTTGCAAATTCAGCACCAAACTGAAGCCAGGCACAGCAGATCCTTGTCCACATGCAAGAAACTTCGTGGAAGTCGCTTATAAATGCAGACCTCGTAAGTATTATTATTATTACATATATACCTGTAGGTTCTACGAAAAACATTCTATTGTATAAGAACAATGACAGGTCATCATAATCTGACCCTAGCCCAGCGCAATACGGTATATAACTTGTAGGATCCTATAGGCGTCGCATAGACTCTTTCTACAGTTTTGGGAAGACAGTTTGAATAGAGTGTGAAAGAAAAATCTGTATTAGAAAAAGAATGTTAACTTCAGACTAGTGTTAGTAATTACATAAAAACAATTCGTATTTGAACGCTATTGCGTTGTATGCTATTTTTGTATTGTACCAGTGGTTAGGTTGTATTGTTTTACTTATTCAACTCATAACTTGCGATATTGAGACATATTCGTGATAAAGCACATGCAAATGTAAAATTTGTAACAAAAAAGAACGGATTTCTTGGAGAGAAAAAAAACATGGAATAGTAATAAGAACACCTAGCTTCTCAGTACCATACTTCATTTGATAGCATTGCGAAAATAAAACATTGAATAACTGAGCCGATATTATTCTTGCATTCAGTAGGGGTCTAGTCGTCACAGCCATTATGGGAAAGTTATTGGCTCTTTCTTTTTAGTTCACGTAAGATTCTGCTGAAGCCCGCAGGCGATCCTGATTTATCGTTCGTTTATTTATTCATGTGGGTCTTAAGGGCTTATTATTTCATAGAGGGCAATATGTAGTTACGACGTTTTGAAACTAGTGTTTCTTAAGACAAACGATATTATAAAACGTGAATTAAAAGTATTTATTTAAAAGTAATATTACAAAAAAAATCATTTAAATACAAAGGTAACATAATGTACGCTTATTACTTGTCAGTCAAGAAATACATATTAATGCTTCTAATTTACATTTACGGCCAGTTCTCAAATCAAGGGCGTAGAACGGGAGAGAAGAACTCTCCGCCACTCTTTTTAATCGCCATTTTTTTGTTTTACAAAATGTTTGTAAGGAGCCGCAACCATTACACCACGTCCCATGTACATTTTAAGTAATTAATAATATAACATAAATTAAAAACAAAGAATATACAGCTATACACATACACATTATATAAAAAAAACATTTAGACATTAAACAAAGCCAAAACGGATTACATTGTTAAATAATGACTTTACATGAATTACAATCTAACCTATACAATTATTATGGCTAATAAGTAATTCGACGACTCATTGGTCTAGTGGTTAGTACCCCTGACTGATCCATAGGTCCCGAGTTCGATCCCCGGCTGAGACGAACATCGATGTGATGAGCATTTGGTGTTGTGCTTAGGTCTTGGGTGTTTAAATATGTATTTATATGTCTATCTATCTATAATATGTATGTATATCTGTTGCCTAGTACCCATAACACAAGCTTCACTAGCTTAGCATGGGACTAGGTCAATTGGTGTGAATTGTCAAAAAAAAAGTAATATTATGTTGTATTAATTTTTTACAAAACTAATAATGTTCATTAACAGTCTTAGTTTTCTATACTGTTTTGACACTATGTTTGTGTGTCCGAGATACCGCACTTGCACTTATATTCACTACACTAAGTTTATCTCAAAAGGTTTAGTTCTAGTAGTAGTTGGATAGCCTCAGTATTCACATGGTTATGTAGCCCGTTCAAGTGAGCTAAGGCATCGTTTCACCGTATCTAGGACGGTATCCACATAAAGATCCTTGTGGATACTTTCATTTATTCTTCTATCTACACAAAAATTTTATTCTATGTTTTTAGAAAATATGACACTAACAATAGAAAAAACTTAAATGTTGACTATAGCAAACTTCGGTTTTTTGTGACAAAAATAAAAAATTTAAATTTAAATTTAAAATTTAAAAAAATAATTTAATTTAAAAATTTACTCTCATCATATTTCCCTAACGCGTCAAAAGAAGTACATCAACAAACTACAATTTAATATTTTATGGAAAAAATAAATTGTTACTGCTGCTAAATAAAGTTAAACTTGTAAACATGGTTTGTTTTTTATGGAAATAACATTCTTATTGTTACGAGCTAGGGGATCGGATAGAAACGCCGTAGATTTCTTCAAGGGTTTATTTTCAATTAAATCTACGAGGAATTTGCTAACACTAAAAACTGGAAATTACGCACAACAATTCACTAAATACACACAAAATACTGTCACTAATTACTCTAATTACACGCACTTCACACAGTACTTGTATTCACTTGTCTTCACTATATTCCCACTTTGTCACTTCGGTGTTTATCTCTTGCATTGTATCGCATTCAAAACTGAACTAACTGATCGCGTTTCGGCTCGCTTATATCCCTGGGAATAGTCTTGAACGATGTTCGAGAACTCTCTAGGCGTGAGCGCTACTGAGTAGCGATCGCACAATTCTAGAACGTCCGTACTCGCTATCTCTCTCGCACATTGCTCCGTCCTTGTCGTACGGTGTCCGAAGGTTCCAATCTTCCGTCTCTCTCTCGCATCATTCCGTCCTTGTCCCACACCCAGAAAATTCGTTCTAGACTATTCCTTCATCAAAGGGGTATAACCAGGCCTGAAAACTCCTGAAAACAGGTTTCCTGAAAAGTGTACCACTCTTGTTCTGAAACGGCCTGAAAAAATGTTTCAGCCTCCTGAAAACTAGGGTAACATTATGTAAATTAAGATTTTCTAATATGTGATTGACCCTCTCCTGAAACGGTCAGAAATCACATTTCAGCCTGCTGAAAAGTTCTCTAAGTAGTGGAAAAATCAAGAAACATTTCAGTCGACCCGTCTTCGTAACATTATAATAGTAACAAACAGTACTACGAAATCACAATTATACATGGATCTAAAAGTTTGCATAAACTAAGTATATACTACTATCATTTGGATAGAAGTTTGGTTACATTTATTTGATTACCTTTTTGACTTTAACAGGTTTAAACTTATTAAGGACATACTCGATCCTCTATATTAACGCTATATATAAAAGAGACAGAGATGTACGACAGTTTATCGTGTATCGTGTCACAGCTCCAGAAGCGTGGCGACGCCTAGTAAATCTGACATTATACCCAAAACTTCGCTACAACTACGCTACTAGACATTTCATAAAACGTTATTGACCATAGTTAAAACAGCGTAGATCTGTGAAAATCTAATAAAATTATCTGGAATTAGAATTTAAGATTTCATTATATGTTTTACTTACTCTGTATCGTTTACTATTGCCTAGTAATTTCTCCCTAAAGAGGAAAAATATGATAGGTATAATTTATGTTTCCTTAACGATATTTTTTTGAAAATCAAACCAAAATCATCAAAAATTTAAGATTAAGATAAAGGGCTACCTCGACTGTTATTTTCTAGAAATCACTCAATTATTTGTCAAAGACCAAGGAAGTTTGTTAGTGTAAATGAAAGCGTTTCCGTATTTTGCCTTTAGTCTATATTTCTTATTGTATAATCAATAAATTTAACTAACATATTGGTTCCTAGCAATATGCATTTCCAAATCACGCAAGCTTCCTCAAATACTAGGGGTTGGTAATCGTGGCAATAGTTTTACGAGGGCAAAGCCAGTGTAGTGATTTATGTGATGTTATTAAATTCCGGGGAGAGGTCACCGGCCGGACACACCCGGGAGTGGCCATAGGTGCGCCGTTTATTTGTTGTTGGCTAGACTAGCGTTAAAAACGCGCGATTTTAAAGTGAATGATGTTACTTTGTCTCTATTTGTTAATATTGTGTAGTTATCGTTTTAAATCGAGGTGAGAATTTTTAAACTACTTCGATCTGCATGGACGTTTGACGATAACATTAGTTCTGGTCGCAGGGTCACATTGTTGTATTATTAATTTAAGTATCAGTTCAGTAATGTGCTAATTAACATATATATATCATATACTTCAGTTTAAGTAAACTTTTGTCACCGATCTGTAATAACATAACTTCATGTTTCTATTCTTTGACTTTTGGCTTGATGAAGCAGTCACTATTTCCTTCTTTATTTCTGTATTTGACATACACACTATAAAACTCTCCACTCTTATAATATTCCTTGAAGCTTCAGAGCTAATCTTAATTATACTTGACGTAATATTGCATTCCTATTTAGATACTAACCAATAGACAATGGAATTTGGATGTTATTAAACGCTAGTTTACACATAAAGTAACGAATCCATTAAGGTTCCCTCAAAGTAAAATTGAACAAAGAATACTCGAAGCTTTTATTTTGTGGTTTTGGATTACTAATGGAAAGGGTTGAGACGTGTTTTCATAGAATATGGCCAATTATGCAATCTAATTAATTGAGTAAATAATATTGAACAGTTATGAATTAGTTGGAGCGGGTTTCCACGCTGATTGGCGTTTGACATGTTTTGTATTCCGAATAACGGCTATAATTAATATACATTGATTACGAGTGATAAGGTCGATGAAGGATTGAAGTTATTTAAATAATTTCATACGTCGGGTAGGAAATATTATGCAATGATATTATTTATGTGTACTTGAGGGTTGTTGGTAATAAGTCAGTTATTGTCTGAATGCGTCTTTGCAATGATTATAGGCCAAATTTAAAGCGAAGAGGTGATAAGTGTATCTGCGAAACACAGCTTTTCTGGAGACTAAAGCAGGCCGGTGTCTTCTTGCAGTAAGTAAACATAATTGAAATCATTACATTCATCATTTAAAGTTTAACAAAATACTTGCAAAAACTGAGCTATAGAATGGCGTGTACGTGAATCATTTACCATGGAGTGTTCAGAGTTGTTCGGATTAATATCATAATACGTGCAGCTGAGTTTCATCATCGGAAGTCGAGGCAGAACACGAAATTCCATCTCGACGTTCGTCGTTCCACAATTGAGCGTTTTTTATGACAGTTTTTGCCGCGTACCACCACTATGTGAAACCAGCTGCCCACTGAAATATTTCCGAACCAATTCAAATAACGGTCCTTCAAGTAAAAAGCGTACCAATTCTTAAAAGGCCGGCAACGCAATCGCGAGCCCTCTGGAATTGAGAGTGTCCATAGGCGGCGGTTTCACTTAACATGAGGTGAGCCAGCCCGTTTGCCCCCTGTTTTATATAAAAAAACCTTCTACAGTAACTATTCTTCTCTAATCTTCAAACCTGAAATAATTATGAGATAAGAGTAGGTTCTATATTTGAAATACCAGTCGTAATGGCTACGAGCCATTACGACTGTAACTATAGTAGCGCTATAGAAATATGTACGACTACGAATCATAGCAGTTGCCAGAAATGTTGAATATCCGGGCGTTAAATTCACATAAGCAATAGACATTCAACAAACACATTTTGTCTAATTATAACTATATCAAAGGCAATCTCAATGAAAATAGCCGCAATATCGCCTAACCATTAATTACTGAATGAAAGCATTGCCATATAGAGTTCATTAGGATCATAATTCCCCGTCACTCTTTGACGGTGATGTATTACTATTGTATAAACAATGTTTACATTCAATGTTGACTAACATTGAGACTTAGCGCTATCAAAAAAACGTATTGGGTTTGACATACTGTAGACAGTATGTCTACAGTTTGTGGAGGCTTGTATTTAATTTTTTTGTATTTAAATCACTCGAATTACAGTAGCTAAGGTGCTGTGTCTTATTCTCTCATTGTGATGTGATGTGGACAAAACACGGTTCAAGTTAGCGAATTGAACACATGCCTGAAACCGATTATAAAGATATAGTATGTTTATTATTTAACTCTGTTAAAACAACTGAACCGTACTTGAGGTATTGTCTCTCGCTGATGTCACAACCTTGGGGTCCCGGAACTCAATATTAAGATCGGGCTCTGATCTCTGGTTATAAATAATGCAATTTCTTTATCATTTTTATGTTCTTATTTTATTTATGTGAGTGAATGTAAAATTTGTTTCAATATTTTTGAAGTATAACTTCTTTAGGCGCATTAGGGTAATTTTTTTACGGATACGTCACGAAAAGCGAGAAGGGCGATTTACCTTATAGAAATTCTATTTTTAAAATTTAAATTTCCTATAGAGAATTTATGAAATATTAGTATTTTAAATCTAAAATGACGAATTGAAAATTAAAACGCCACGTGTTTTTATTATCGAAGATATAATTTTAATTACTATTAAATTCATTCAATTCCTATCATATTATTATCTCCTTCCTCCCTCTAAGTCTCGGAAATCTTTAGAATTGTATAGATATGAACAAGACTTAAAAATTAGTTTGCCAAAGAAGTTTCACTCGTTTACTTTGTACTTATAATAATAAATGCTTATTTTCAACAGATGAATTCCGGAGTCGAACGGCATGTGAGGACGACATAATAAAGTTAAGTTGCAGCCGCTACTCTCGGCTGGCCATCTACGAAGCTCACTATGGAAGAATGGCGATTGAGGCTCACTCTATGACCTGCCCACAAGCCCAGGGCGTGGACGATGAAAGTAAGTATAGTTAATATTTTCAAGTTTTGTTATAGTGGTTGGTCCAGTTAGAGTGGCCACGTTTCTTTTGCCTTGGGGAATTCAGTCGAGAGCTTATGCAATATGGCAAGGACTTCTTCGGAGCGTTTGGCCCAACCACTTCCATTTCCGGTAACTATTCGTTGAGCGAGTTAAGCACCAGCTCTTTGGTCACCGGTACTATCTACCAAGCGCCTGTGCAGATGAACCCCACGCCCCAAATGTCTCAACTCCAATGGGAACAAAATCGAAAAATAATGTTTTAGAAAATTTTTAGGGACTAGTGTTTATTCATGGTGTTATTACTCACAAATTCGCACGTTATTATGGCTGTAATAAACACATATTGTAACACGATATAGTCCTACTTATTTATTTATTTATTTAGTTATCAAGCCCACGACATCACACACTAAGCAGAAAAAAAAGAAAAATCATCCGAAAAACAGCGAAATTAGGTTCAAGAAAGGCACCCCACAACTTACTTAAATAATTAGTAAAATGTTTGATTGATCTTTTTATACATTTAGCTAAATAACGTTTGGACAAAATATAATAAAATTACAAAATTTTTACTATATTGGTTTTGTCCTCGTACCGGGCCAATGTATACCATAAAGTCAAATATCAAAATCATTTAATCATATAGGTACCGCTATGTACACTTATGAACTTACATTTACTGCCAGTTCTCAAATCAAGGGCGTAGAACGGAAGTGAAGAACTGGCAATAAACTCTCCGTCACTCTTTCTAATCGCAAACTTTTTTGTTTTACATTTGTAAGGAGCTGAAACCATTACACGATGTTCCACATGATACCTTAAGTAATTAATAATAATAAAATGAATTAAAAATAAAGATTTGTCCTCTATCAGCAGGAGGCATGATGAAATAGGAGCACGCACTTACATTCACGTGGGAACAACACGCACACTACTTAAAATATACTTTTACTGTCTATGGACCGATCACAGACAATACAGCATTTTAATAATTTTTAAAACACTGGCTATTAGCTAAAAGTGTATTAACCATAATGTATATTGACAGGTTGCACGGCCCCCTATGCATTGGAGACCGTGATGCAGATATGTCACGGAAAAAGGCGATGCCTCGTGGTGGCAAATCGTAAAACGTTTGGGTCCCCCTGCAACCCAACTTCGAGGCCATACCTCAAAATTGCTTATGCGTGTGGTATGTTTTTTTTTAAGATTGTCGTGGTTAATAATAATAACATATTGGAAATGAGTCTTTAAATTCAGAAATATTATTATATATCTATAAATTACTATTTATAGATATATAATAACTTACTATATAGTTATAGGTGAAGTACGTATCTATATAAATAAAAATGATTCGCTAAATGTTGCAATGTTAAGCGCAACACTCGAAGACGGCTGGACCAATTCGAGTATTTTTTTAAATATTTGAACTACCTATGTGAAAGGCTTTTATGGAGAGAAAATTTTAAAAATATAGTTTATTTAGTAATTAGGTTATTACTTCGAAAAAGCTAAGTCTTTATGGCAAAAAGTTTCATATGTTGGCTTGTAACTACTAAAAAGGTAGGCTAAGTAATAAGCGTATTATGGTGAAATGAAGTTAGTGAAGCAGTTAATAAGATTAATAATACGATTTTTGACTATATTTGGAGTTTATTGATACAAAATAATTTGAACATAGAAGAAACGTAAAAGCTTGCCCTTTTTAATAATTTCCATTTTTGTAAATTATATAGATTTAAATGGTTCCATCTTCAATTAAAAATTAAAAACACAGACTTTCAATACAATAGCAATTTCATATTTTCTACTTAAAATATAGAAAAATTATGCTTCAAAGTCAAATTTTGTATTGACCCGTGTTATTTTTAAGTCGCGTTTTAATTCAAACCAAATTTCATTGTTAGAAAGAGCAGTGTGCTTCTAATATAAGCAACAATTTGATTAAATGGAGCCACCAACCCAGTTCGTACTAACATTAAAAGACAATAAATATTTTCAATTCTTTTTCAAATAAGACTTAGGCTTTATGGTCCTAAGTCACGACTTTTGTTTACAGTGCCCTTAGGTGTATTGATAGAAAGATACGAGAGTCCGGCGGAAAAGGATGAAGTCATACACACACAGGTCATGAATAAAGATGAGGGACTATTTGATGATTCAGGTGTGTAATAAAAAATGCGAATATCAAATGCCGCCAAAGCGTTGGTTTTTTTTATATAATAGTGGGGTGATCCTACGGGACAGTCATCGCAGCCCATGGTCAGTTATTTACTGGGTGCGTTGGCGGCCCTTGAGGGAGGAGAACACTATAACCTTGAATAGTTGGAGGTCGTGTCTCTCAGAGACGACCCCCCACCGGGAGTCGATTCCACAGTTCGTTAGTTCGCAAAAGAAAATGCTTTGTGAAACAGACTGTGGAAGACTTCCAGCCATCAAGGTGGATGTTCTATGAAAAATAGTTACCATTGTAATAATCACGATACTATCGTTTATAGTAATTACGCGCCTACTTTTTAATAAAACCTCTTTTTACGAAAATTGCAGGAGGAACCTCGACCACTCGAACCAAGGTCTGGCTGGCTGAAAAGCCTCAATGTAGATGTATATATCCTTACTAAGAATACCTTTGATAGTGTGATTCAGGGTGAAGTCGTGATTTGTAGTCACTACGGCGTTATGTTAATTAATGTCATAAATTATTTTCTATATAAAAAGGAGTTTTAAAGAAAAGTTTTTTTTTAGATACTGGCGAGCATTGGGACGGGAATGTTGCAACACCAATCGCTGATTCGGCGCTGCAACCTCCGTCAGATGACATTCATCTCTTGTTAGAAAAGGAAAAGGTATCGGAAGCCACCGCCGGTTCTGTAAATAGAACAGGTACGGAGAACTTAAATCTATTTAAAAAACAAATACAATCTAGACAATTACCAATTAATTAATGTGACAAATAAGTAGGTATTACTGTCTTAGTGTTAAGAAAACCTTGTAGCTCAGAGGGAACAATTAAAAGTTGAAGTGTAACTATAGTTTAAAATAAGTTCATATTCGAAAGTTAAAAATGTTTTTCACTAACCTGGGCTTCCATAAATCAATTCTTATATTAATATAAGTTAATTAAATGTCACTAATGCCCTATAATTTTTGATCATTTACTTTGAATTTGGTTCTTAATTGACATCATGTATACGTTTTGCCAAGAGGTTTACCTTTATCTGTGACAAGTGTTTGAACAAGTGTTAATAGCGTTCTTAGTAAGAAAAATAAATTCGTTGTAATCAGGTTAAGAATGTACCATTCTAAAGTTGACAATCCATATTTAGATTTATCTAGAAATACGTTTAAAAATATGTAATCTCACAATTTACATACAATGGAAGTGCAAATGAGGATAAGGTAAAATGCGGTGTACTTTTTTCTCGTCTTTAAAATACTACTTCTAGTGTAATTTCAAGACTATTATTATTTCAATGTTAGTAAAAATAATGCTAATACAAGTACACATTCAAAATGGCGGATCCCCAGATGATAGTCAACTTGACATAGCAGCTATTAAACTTCGCTCAATTACGATCACACGATTAGGGGTTCAATTATTGCTAAATATCGGCCCAAATTGTCGATATTTAGAGTGGTGGGTGATAATAATTGCAGGTGAAAGCGGTTAACCGCTGAGCGCTAATGCGTTCATGATATACGAGATCTGAACGTAAGGGGACTTTAGTTTTGAAGCGTGGTTTTCTATCTAACATTAATGATCATCAAATGCTCAATGTGTTAATAATTTATACTATTATAATGGAATTAGTTTATTTATTTTATAATAATACAGGAAAATAAGGTATATATAACAAAAACAATTAAACAACTTAAGATATAGCCAAAGATGGAATACATATATACAAAAAGATATATAAAAAACAGCCGAATTTTAATTAATTTTTTGAAATTTTTATGGTGATGAATATGATATAAACGCTTTTTATAAATATCTCTCGGAATGATTAAAACTTAAGGAAAAGTTTACTCGTGTCTATGATAGTAAAATGCACATGCATCGGCGATTCTTTATAAATATAAAAATCAGACGAATTATTATAATAATAAAAACTTTATTAGTCATTAATAGAAGGGTTTGTGACAGAAATCATAAATCGCTAGTCCCCACACTAGGGAGGCCCTGTGTTGTGGGTAACTAGAAAACAATTATTTCGTGGTACATGTTAAAATTAGTTTTAAAAAAAGATGATAATAAAAAAGAAAAAATAATAATAATAGTTATAAATTTAGTGTTACATATGAAGTGAATGAGTGAGTGTGTGATTAGGTGAGTATGCGCATGTATTTGAGAATGTAGCTGAAAGTTGTTATGATCGTGCACTGTGTCTGTGTTAGTTTATGAAACCTCAAAGTCATAAGATATGTATTAATGCCTCTGTAGATTCGAAATCCAATTTGGCTTGTGTAGTTTCTATGTGACTTGCTAATTTATATCTGGATAGTTTTACGATCTCACTTTAAGTCAGATATTTTTTATTTATTTCGTAATGTCACAGCTAACAAAAATATCTATAAAAACAAACAATTACATAAAAAATATAGCCAATGATGGAATACATAATATTTTCACAAAGGTTCAAACATTTACTTAAGGGAAAAAACAATAAAAATTATTCAATACATTTAACTAAGTATTACCTAATTCGGCTGTGTTGTGTGATAGTGTAAAAGTGAGTACGTGAGGGTGTGTATGTGGGGTGTGCTCGTGATGCAGGTGATTTTGCGCTATGGATATTAATACTCATTTTAACCATATTCCGCGATATCTTAAAAAGTCAACGCTTTAATATTGGTCGTTGTACGTCCGGGCTGCGCGATAAAAAATGATTTTTGTTGTTTAAGTAAGTTATTCTAATTAACCTATCGAAGAGATGATGTGAAAAGATTGTACAATCATGTTTTAATAATGGATTCATTTAATAATTAGAGTGCTAAAATTAAAACCAACTTTCTAATAGTTTTAATATTCGCAGAGCTTGTTTAGAAAAATTACGTGACACAAACTCAATATTGTAATCGATGTTGAAATAAGTAATGGGGTAAGCAGGGTTTTAGGGGTAAATATATCTCATACAGATGTACGTAACATACTGCAATGGAAATTACTTTTATTATAATGTTTTAATAGAAAATATTCTAAATAGAAATTTAATATATAATAATGATAATGCAATCAGACACATTTGAACGGCATTATATAGGTGTGTATGAGGGGTGTGCTCGTGATGCAGGTGATTTTGCTCTATGGATATTAATACTCATTTTAACCATACTCCGCGATATCTTAAAATGTCAACGCTTTAATATTGGTCGTTGTACGTCCGGGCTGCGCGATAAAAAATGATTTTTGTTGTTTAAGTAAGTTATTCGTAATTTGTTTTTTTAACACTTAATCATCCTTTCAGGTCGTTCGAAAGCCAACGAAAACCTATACTTCTATGTCGGCGTAGCGATATCAATTTTTCTGATACTTACCCTGTGTCTCGTAATCGTCCGATTCTATATTAACCGTAAACGGAAACGGAATGCAAAAAACGGTAATATGTTTACAACAGAGGCGCCAAACATCTTCTGTGATGCAACATCTGATATAGATAACGACGTGAGCCACATTTCTGGAAACTTCTATGACCCGGGCCATCCCGATATGCTGTATAGAGAAACTACGAGGACATTGAGACCCATGAAGCCTTTATCCACAGTGTATCCAACCGCTGGAGCAAGTATGTATGGCGTAGATTATATACCTCCCCTCGAACCGTTGAGGTTTGAAAGTGACCCAGAAGTAATGATGAGCCCCAAAAGTTTAAGTGGATACACGAACACAGAGTTCCATTATGGCTGACGGTATCTTGGAGGCGGCACCTCCGAGGATTGTGGATAAGTTTAACTGTATTTAAGATTATGAGTTATGACAGATTAAAATATGGCATTGGAGGTAATGCTAGTTACAATTGCCTTTGAGGCTTTTGGTGCATATTCGAGTAAGAACTGGTATTGGTGTAATTTTGTTGGAACATTGGTTTTGGTTTGTGGACTCAGTTTCCGCACTCAGACTCAATAAGTCCGTTGTGCGTAGCGGTTTTTGTTGGAACAATATTATCGTCTTAAAAACTAAAAATCTAGAAAAACACTTTTTTTACGGATTTGAAGTTATGTCTTATTATAAATTTACAATTATTTTACATAATTTTAAATTTAACCGACGTTTCGCGTGCATTACAGCGTGCGTGGTCACGGTGACTGGAGACAAAAGGTGTTTAATGTCAAAAATTATCACAGCTGTAGAAAAAGTTGAGTTATCTGTATTTATTTCCCCGGAGTTGGTATCGACTAAAAGATGGAGGGTTTTGGCAGAAATGGCTCACGGTGTCCTCTATTTTCGCGGATAGTTTATATAAACATATGTAAAATAATTGTAAATTTATAATAAAACATACCTTCAAATCCGTTAAAAAAGTGTTTTTCTATGTCTAAAAGTTATGCCAATAAAAGACAATACTAACTAAAAATCTACAAAACGAGTAACTCCTATTGTAAAAGATACTGTGAACTAGGTGACTATGGATATCTCGATTAAAATAACATTGTTTATATATCTTAATTATAACTGGAGCTCTTCAAAAAAAATGTGTATAAATAACTTGTAAAACCTATCGAAGAGATGATGTGAAAAGATTGTACAATCATGTTTTAATAATGGATTCATTTAATAATTAGGGTGCTAAAATTTAAAATTAACTTTCTAATAGTTTTAATATTCTCAGAGCTTGTTTAGAAAAATTACGTGACACAAACTCAATATTGTAATCGATGTTGAAATAAGTAATGGGGTAAGCAGGGTTTTAGGGGTAAATATATGTCATACAAATGTACGTAACATACTGTAATGGAAATTACTTTTATTATAATGTTTTAATAGAAAATATTCTAAATAGAAATTTAATATATAATAATGATAATGCGATCAGACACATTTGAACGGCATTATATATCGATATTGTGTTTTTGTCACATAATTACCGTCAGGCGCCATACTCGAACTATAAATAGATTTAAATTAATTAATTAATTCCTTTATTAATCTGGGAAAGATACCCGCTGAGATTATATTTTAATCTGTATAAACATAAAATTATTTTATATCTAAAAAGCTGTATATATTTTTTTCTTACAAATCTAGTGATCTAGGTAGATAAAAAAGACCAAAATGTAAATTTTAAAAATACGCTTATTAACAGTCAATGTATATATTTAATAAATATCAAGTTTTAACTAAAAATTAATAGAGGTAATTGTTTTATGAATGAAGGTTCTTCAGTAGTATAAGCATGAACTCCAGGAAGCATATTGAAAAATCTTGCTATTTATGCCAAATTGTGTATTGTAAATTTCCGTCTAAGTTTTTTACATATAAATATATTGCGCTAGCGTTTGCTTGCTAGTCTGATTATGGAGCTGTTGTTAAGTTACCACGGCTAATACACATACTACCATATGGCCCGCGAGAGCCTTTAAAAAGTACGTTTGTTTGTTACCTTAAAATATATCTTGAAAATTTAAAGGGAAATATAGAAAGAAGTTTGTATATATAAATTATTAACAGTGACCTACAGCTGAAATGATGATTGTGTGCCTTTCATTTTCCATTTAATGGTATGTAGAATTTCAACTTTAGTTCATAAGATTACTTTATAATTGTCAATGTTTTAATGTCCTTTTGGTGGTTTCTCTGTAAAATACTTGTAAATAAAGCTTTAGTATTAGTATTGACAAATCTTGATAGTTTCTTAGTATGCTAAAAACGTTGCCATATTACTAAAGAAGTAATAATTACAGTCAAAATCTGTTATAACGACATCAAAGGGACTACTCATATTTGGTTGTAAAACCGATAGTCGTAACAGCCGATGACGTTGTTATTAAGTACACAATACAATAGAATTCAGCCGGGACCTTTGATTTTGGTCAATATATCGGTTGTTCTAAACGATGTCGACGTAAACGGTTTTGACTGAATATGTAAAAATACGTACTAAACTCGCACCAAATTTTACTAGATTATCGCTTATAACACTTACATTATGCATATTATGCACTAAACCGTCAATGTAATTTTTATAATTTTTTAATAAATAATCTAAAAACATGTGTTTTATTTCATGCAACCCATTTAAATGACAAAATAAATAACATTTAAGTTGTTTTAATATTCACATTGTTTAATTTTAGAACGATTCAAAAAGACTTCCGTCAAAATAGAATGTTTTAAAAGTTTGCCCAAATCGGTGTTCTTTTTCGTTAGCGATTCCTTGTCCAATTTATATTTTTAGCGTGGTAATCTTGCGTGACGCACCGTCATTATTCAATAAAATTAGGGGAAATTAGGGGATATGACTCCTCCATTCTTCAAGACGCTAAAGAGGGGCCTGTTAATGTTGGGGAAAGTCAGTCATATATTATATACATTAAGTTATTTTTTACTAACAAAGCATGATGATAAATCAAAGTTATTGATATGCTGATGAGTTTGAATATATTTTTTATTATATTGTATTCGTTTGTTATTTCTATGAATGTTGTTAACTGGATTCTTAACGTATTTTTCGAATGTCTGGTTATATACTTATTTATATAAAGAAAAAGGAGTAAGTTGAAATGAAATAAAATAAAGAGAATTACGTAGAAATAAAATTCTTAATGTAAAATTAAATATTGAATATTTGTCCAATTGAAAAGTATGAACTGTATGACATTTATATATTAAAAATGTATAATAATATTTTATGAATGGAACCTTATTACATTGCCATATTACAACCTAAAAAAAACATAAATATAAATTACTTCAGTGGCGCTACAATTCTTGGTCCAAGAGATTTAGGGATCTGTTTTGTGATAATTTTTTTTGTACTTAGTAGATAAATAGGTCATCCTTCCGTGCCTGATACACAACGTAATTAAGGGAGTCTAAGGCACTATCTCCACTAACTTTTCCTTGTACAAATGTTAAATTTACTCATTGAAATTTGATACGCGCAAGCTAAGGCCACTCTTAATATAAATAAATACATGTTACAATCAAATCGTATTTATATCTTTTTATTTATTTATTCACACTTCTTTGCAATAAAAATAAAAGGAAAACAAATAACACAATACATAAAAATTACAAGGGATGCAACGGGCGGCCTTATCGCTAATAAGCGATCTCTTCCAGGCAACCATTGTAAGAGAAAAACTAAAAAAAGAAACATGATGAGTGCAAGAAGTGCAGAACCAAATGTTATATAGAAAAAAATATAGAACCTAAATCTAAAGTAATACAAAAAATATTAATAACAAACTAAAAACTTAAAAGCTTATCTTACAGATTCGTTAACAGCGAATAGTGATGCAATACAAAAGAAAAGGAAACACAAGAATTACACAAGTCACGATTGATCAGAATAGGATATGGTTAAGAAATGTTTATACAGAAGAGTTTTAAAAGATGATAGATAGGTAGCCAATCGTATGGAGTCGGGCAGCCTATTCCACAACTAAAATATACTTATTACATATATTTATTTGGATTCGTTAGCTTAATTTAATTTGTTGTTAACTGAGAGCAGAACCTAGTACTCAATAAACACTTAGGGGTGATGTTTATCCGCCATTGATCTCAAACGTCAAATTGAAGGGTATTAGGATAGCTTAGTGCCAGTAATCCTCAACAAGTTTGTTGTCCAAACAAACGGTTTGTTTATCTTTGTTTATGGATAATTCGATAACAAAAACATACCTATTTTTGACTAGGCTTAAGGATATCTTGGAAAAGTAAACAAACATAATATAGTCATGGTTGAATAGGTAGGAAGTTCCGTGGCTTAGTGGGCTCACATTCGAGACGTTATACACTGGCAATCAAATCAAAATCATTTATTCATATGGGTAACACAATGTACACTTATGAACGTCAAAAAAGCAATACATATATATGCTTCTAATTTTACATTTACTGCCAGTTCTCAAATCAAGGGCGTATAACAGAAGAGAAGAACTGGCAATACTAGTCACTCTTTTTAATCGCAAACTTTTTTGTTTTACACTATGTTTGTAAGGAGCTGCAACCATTACCCATGTTCCACATGATATCTTAAGTAATTAATAATAATAAAATAAATTAAAAACAAAGATTTGTACTCTATCAGCAGGAGGCATGGTGAAATATGCATTTACATTTTCGTGGGAACAACACGCACAAACATTCATTAATACTTTCACTTAGAAGCACTTGAAGTCAAACATGGGCTAAGTTTACTGTCTGTATGAGTGGGCGAAGTCAGTGTCAAAAATTTATGCGTCTACTTCAATTACCATTTCTTCAAAGAAGAATGGTAAGGTCCAGTAGTAAAGTAAAGGTAGCTTTCAACAATTATTATTTTGCTTGGACCCGAACCTAATGCGTATTGTGCCAGCGAGTCATAGCGGTGAAGTTTTTATTACAATTAATTTACGCAATTAAAAAGATATAAAGAAATTTCCAAATGTCAACAAAGTTGTAAAGTATGGAAAAACTCAATTATTGGGTTACTGTGGAAGAGTCCCGAGTTTATTTTTTGCATTCAAAACCAAAATCGCTGAACAAACTGAATAGGAATTCTCCCGCCGATCTACATAATATATCAGAGTTTCCTTTGAAGTGTCTCAAACATGTAAAGTAATCTTCGAAAAGAAATGCAAACCAAAACAATCGATACAAAATCCAGCCCATTTGGACTCCATCCATGTCGTTAGAATAATTTATTATTATCGCCGCTTGAAAATCTTTTTTTCATTTTACATTCCACAAAAGAATGCTTG